CCATGATTTTTTTACATTATTTTCTTCCCTCGAACTTCAATTTCACTTTTCACTTATATTTTGGGGTTTTATTTCTTGTCACTGATAATCTTATCGAATATTTAATTTATCTATTTTTATTTCATTTTCTCGTTTTTCCTCTTTATCCTAACATTTATTCCTTTCCCTGTTTTTTTATTCATTTCTTTTTTATATTCATCTTTTTATATCCCATGCTTTCTTTTTAAAAATTTTCTCATTAATTTTTCATAAACTATTGGCTCTCTTTCATAATATTGTTTTTTTATTTAAAATTTATTTTCGGTATTTCGTGCGTTATCATCATTTTTTTTTATTAGTACCCATTTTATTTTATTTTTTATTTTTGTTGTTGCTATTTTTTCTTCTTCTCCATTTCTTTTTCTTTTTCTTCTAAATGTTCTTCTCCGTTTTCTTATTCTTTCCTCCTTCTTTTCGTCTACTTCTTTTCTTTTTTATTTCTTCTTTTTTTTCTTTTTCATTTTCTTTTCTTCTTTTTTTCTTTGTTGGCATCATTCTACATTTTTCGAGTATCATGTTTATTGTTGTTGATTTTTTAAAATTTTTTTTCGAGTACGCTTCCTTTCTGAATCATAATCCTTCCGTTGATATTAATTCAAACAATTCTACATTCCTTGATTTCTCTCTTTCTTTCACTATTTTTTCCATGTGCCTCTTTTATTTTTTTTTATTTATTATTTTTTTCGTGGGACGCGTTTCTTCCTTCAGGATTTAATCAGACTTAGTTTGTCGATAGTGATCTCGTTCGTGCGTTTGTATTGTCGCATTTTTACAATTTGTCATGTATACAGGGTACGATGGGTAAATTGTCACACATTTATAATTTGAATTTCGCGCATGCGCCTTGGTTGTTTTTGATTTAGTCGACTGCACAGCATAGTTGGGTCATTTGGGAATCGTCTCTGAGAAAAAGGATACCATAATGCAATTCATTCCAGGAGAACTTTGGAAACGTCATGCTGCATTGCTTGGCATTCGCATCGGAAACTCCAATATAAATGTTTGAGATTGTTTGGACGTCAAACTGAGGACAGTGCAAAGGATTGGAAAAGAGGTGGATGAGTGTAATGGTGATTACGAAGGTACGGTAACTCATAAAACTCACTCTGATCATCGTTCTGATAATAAAAGAAGTCACCAATTTGAGGTGAGGAGATCAGAACCAACACAGAAGCCCGCATCAAGTGTCTTGAGGAGGTCGTGATGGTCGTGGTCAAGAGGTTGGCCGCTGGAAGATCCTATTGCTGGCAACAATTATCTGCACCATGCTACACACACAGAAGAAACCAGTCATGGTTGTTAGACAATACCTGTTACCACATTACACCTTACACCTGGCCGGCAAATTCCTCAAATCCCAACCACTTTCATTGCTAGCTGTGTGGCGCAGTTGTGCGATGAAACCAAAAATCCTTGCAACATCAAAGATGAACTAAAGGCATGGATTATGTTATGCCATCATTTACCTACTTAAACAAAGAGATTGTCCAGACGAGTTCCAGGAGATTCCGAAGTCATTTGGAGGCCGTGCTTGTAGCAAAAGGCGATTTTATTAAATAAATTTACCCATTACTCTTTCAAGATAATTTTGTGTCATTTTTGGTAAATATATCTGTTAAAGTCAGACGTCAGCGTTATTTTCATTTTTGCGTAATTTAGACGACAATTTATCTATCGCACCAATATATATATATATATATATATATATATCGATAGATGCGAGTATAAACGAAGAATTAAAAATCTTCAAACACGGTTCCAGAAGATTCAATAATTTTTATTTATTTCAGTAATATTCTTATTTCAAATTGAAAGAAATCAATTACAAATTTGCGAACAAGTTGATACAAAATATTTTTTGATTCATTTTTACAGTACAAACGAATGAATTGCACCAGTACAGATAAAAGGTAAAAAGTGCCTATATGTGTGCAGATCTATGTGACACAGATTACATTGTTTTCCCTGTATGTATGAAATTGAAATCTTCAACCTCATTAAAAAATAATGGAAGTTAGTTTCTATTATTACTGCATGTAAACAATTTAGCATTCGCATTGTCAATGTGGCTGGATATTTTTTATTTTTTTAATATTGTTTACTCGAATAAATATGTGAAAGATGTGAGTAATTTTACATATTATTAGATCATTTTTTGTAACAAACGATCGAACAAGGCTCAGAATAGATCTAAGATTTAGATATATTAATCTGAAGCTTATTAGGTAATATATATTTTCGCAATTTTTAAAATATTCCTTATAAGAAAGAAAAATATTGTTGATTATATTCTGAGAATGAGCCTCCAAAAATGAAGATTTCGCAGATATTTCAGCGTTTGAGAATTCAAATATTACCGCACGCGTCATAAGATGTCGCTGATTCATTAATATGTATTAATATAAAAATTCAAGTATTTGGAACCTGTCAATGTACAAAAATTGAGTTATTTTATGTGAGC